GAAAGTCACTCCAGAGGCACATCCTGGGCAGTCCTCTCTGCCGACCTGGAGTCCTATCACAGCCCACCCAACCTCCCACCCAAGAGGGCTGGCACCGATCACCACCCTTCTAGACTTTGTGCTGTGGCTGTCAGATGGGCAAGGAGGGGTGAGGGGAGAGGCAGGGCCCGCAGAGGGTCGCAGGAGGGGCAGGGTGATCTTCAATAAAGCTGGGGGGGGGTCTCCTGGCCGGAGGGGTGGGGGGCCAGGGTGGGGGTGGGTACAAGAAAAACTGCAGAAGGTACAGTGTGAGAGATTTGAGAAGAAAGGTGACCGGGGCAGGCACGGTTTCCAGTGTCCCCTAAGAGATGACAGCAAAGAACGGGACTTTCCTAAGTGAACTTTGGTGCCACGTTTGGCCACTAAGTTCGGCATTCCTGAGGCCAAAGGGGCCACCTGAGCGCCAACGCTGTCACATAGTCTAGCGGCCACTAGCTTTGAATCAGGTTTTAGGAGCACCTCTCTGAGCCAAGAGAAGGCTTCCCTGGAGAGACAGGGTCAGAAAGAAAACGCTCCTGACAGGAAAACAAGGCAGCTTTCCTCACTGGCAAGAGATTCTCTAGACGAGGAGACTCTGACTTGGAGTTCCTTCTGGAAGTGGCGGCTTCTCTGCCATGACATACACATGTTTTATGTACGTGCCACAGCAGACACTTCTCTTCCTAGTGGACCTACCTCTTGTGCCCCCCAGGTGGCCCCAGGAGGCTACTGATCAGTGTATACAGCTGCCTAGGGTCGAGGGTAGGCGGGTCACCCAGGCAGTGCACTCCTGAGAGTTGCAGAGGACCAGTGCAGGGTCAGCCAGGATCTCCTACAAGTTTTTATAAAAAGCAGTGAAAGGAAAAGGGGCTCTTGCTTTTTTAAGGATTACAAGCCTTAAGAACATGGCTTAGGGCTACTAGGAGGCTACACGTTCTCACTACAAGGTGAGATTCTGCCTGAGATCAAAGCTAACACACAGAAGCAGAGCCAGGGGATGGAGAGAGATGCTGGATAGAAATGATGCCACTTGACTCCTGGATCCAGAAGTCTTCTTTTGGATCTCCCAGTTATTTTAACAGTTGCAGCATTAAATCCTCTCTGCGTCTCACTAGCCTGAATAATGTCTGTGTCATTTCTAGCCAAAAGTCCTGACTAGTACATATAGAATGTCCAATTTTTTCCAAGAAGACAGTATACACTTCCAGCAGTCTCAAAATAATCAGATCAACAGAAGTCAGAAACACCCTCACTCGAAGGACAGCAAAAGTAGCATCTGTTGCTCATTTGCTTTTCACAGCCTTCTAAGGCATAACAACATGCTTGTGTGCCTCAGTTTTCTCGTCTGTAAAATGGAGATCGTAAAACTTGTTTTTCATGCTTATTAAGGAAACTAAACAAGTAACAAGTAAAACTCCTGGACCGTGGTATGGTAGGCATGCAGCAGGTTCTCAGTCCTCTTCCTTTTCTCTAGTGAGCCCGGTTTGTACCTTTCTTACACTTGGAGAACAAAACACCTGAAGTTAAACAACATTTCCTCCTGACAGCTGGCTGCCACCCTCCACGGAAAAGGAGGAGGGTGAGTGGATGGGGATGAGGGAGGCTGCGTGCTCACATTTATTTATCCTACCTGCAGTAAGACAGTTCCCCCAGGAATCGTGAGCTGTAAACAGTACTTCGGGGCGTTCTCCCAGGACAGCAGCTGCACGTCTTCAATTGCACTGTAGGAGACTGAGTTTTCCATGTACCCAGTTGGCTGCAGTGGAAAGAGAAGAAAGAGAGACATGCAAGGTTACAAAAGCAGGCATGGCACCGTGCCTCGGGCGGTTCCTGAACCCCTACTCTCACCCTGCAGTGAGCAAATGGAGCTGGTGCAGAAAACCGGCCACTTCAGGGACTCCAGGAAGCCCCACTGCTCATGGCGGTGGCGTCCGGCCAGAGGGGGCTCATGGCGGAAACACGTGTGGAGGCGCAGAGCTGGGAACAGGCTGAGAGTGCCTTGAGGGCGAGGACCAAGGCCCATCACTCTTGGCATCCTGGGACTGGCACAGGGGGTAGCAGAAGCCCTCCGCCCCTCACCAGCCACGAGTCGTCACCTTCTCCTGCCCGGAAAGAACTAGTTTCCCTGCCCTCCACCCCATACACATTTTCCACTCAGTCTCCAGAACTCTGTTCCAAGATGGAAACCTCCATGCCCTGTCTCCCCTGCTCAGCGTCCTTCAATGGCTCCCAGTGGCCCAGCCACAAAATCTACATTCCCATCCACAAGAGTCAGGCCCCGAAGGTCTGGTGTCATGTGCGCCTCCAGCCCTGTTCCTCACTGCGTCTCTTGCTGTCTACACTCCCCCCGCTGGCCTGCTGACAGTGCCTCCACCCCAACCCGCTCCTTGTCCCCAAAAGGCCATGGCCCCACCCCTGCGTCTCTGCTTCTGCTCTCTGGGGCTCATCTCAATGGCACTTTCTAGGCGAACCGCACCCTCTAGACCCATAGCTCACTCTGGTTGCACCCTTCCCTGCATGCTCCCTGTCCAGTGCTCACCACACCCTGACTATCTGGAGATGCATGCTTTGCCATTTCCTGTCTGCTGTCTGCCTCCAGGCCAGGCTACAAGGCTCCATGAGGTGAGGCCCATGTCTGTCTTGGTCCCACTCTTTCCCCAGTGCCCGGCCTGTGGCAAGGGCTCAATGACACGTGTTGAAAGAACAAAGGAAAGCTGCTATTGTCAGCCATCACTGGGGTGGGGGCAGGGCAAGAGAAATCCACGGCCCTACCATGCTCTGAGTGAGTCCCACTATCATGGACAGAAGGCACCTGGTGACTGAGGGAGATGCTAGCCACCAAGTACCAGCAGTGTCCCTGTCACTCTGGCACCAGGAAGCTGGACCTCAGGAGAATCAGAGGCGAGTCTTGCACAGCCTAGAGGAAGGACAGCTAATACCTCCCAGGCTCTGACGGTCCCCAGGCCTGTCTGGTTTAACTGTCACAGAGATCTCATGCAGCAGGCGCCAGGGAAGTCCTGTCATGTGGACGAGGAGGTTGAGGCCAGGAGGTCATGTGACTTGCCCAGGATCACCCAGCAAGGAGTGGCAAGGTCAGGGCTGAACTTGGCCATCTGACCCCGAATCAGCACCCGACCACTGTACTGTGCTGTAGGCAAGGGGCAGGTGCAACTTACAGCTTGAGGCCCAACAAGTCAGTTTCACCATAAAGACTGACAACAGCTGTTAGGTTTGTTCATTTCAATATCTGTCTGCCGGAATTGAGAGCTGCCTCAATTTCCCTGATGCGATCAGTCACCAGGTTCAGAAAGTACAAGTGACTGTTCAATTGATACTTCATTCATTCCTTCATTCACTCATGCATTCATCCAGGAGACATTTATTGAGCTTCATGATGTTTCAAGCACCATATGGATGCTGGGGACACAGCAGTGAATAAGACGGGAGTCTGTGGGGTACACAGACAACAAACAAAATACCCAAAAAAACGAATTGCTAGAGAGTGGCCCCCAGGGCTGCACAAAGAATCAAAATGGGGTGTGGTGACAGGTGGCTGAGAGCAGGAGTAAAGAGTATCCCAGAGCTCACGGCCAGTGCAAAGGCCCTGGAGCGGGAACAGCTAGGTGCATTTCGGGAGGAGCAGACTGCCAGAGGGAGGGCCAGGTAGGTGATTCCTTGGGAGCGATGGGCAGACCACTTCTGAAGGGGCTAGACTGTCCTTCTGGGGGTCATGGTCTTTCTCCCAGTGGATGGAGTGTCGCAGGAGCTTTGGCCAACTTCCACTGGGACTGCTATGGGCAACAGACTTGGAAGGAGAGGGTGGCGGCACGGAGCCGGCTGCAGGCTGCCATGCGGGTCCAGGGGAGCACGAGGCTGCTCGGACCCTGCAGGCATGGGGGTGAGGAAGCCAAGTCGACCTTGCCCTTCTCACCAGTGCCTCACCGCCCCTCAGGAAGGCCCCAGACCCCCCGTCCAAAGCTGCTGTGTCCTGCCTAGGAAGGCATGCTCTGTATCAGCATGTCCCAAAATCATGGTTGTGGGCCACCCTCCGCCACCCTGCTATCTTCCTGCATCCCATGTGTGGCCATCCCCAAGTGTGCAGTGTGTGACTCAGCCCTGACTGCCATCTTGCTCGGAGCTGCACAGCGGAGACGGGCCTTGGTGGCTGCTTCTCTGCTTATTTTTCTAGCCCACAGTCACATATTTCTTATGTTTGCTACCGGCCCTCTGTCTCCCTGCTAGCGTTTAGGTACTGTGGGAGCAGGAGGGCTCCCCTGCTGCCGTCCACATCCTAAGTGGTGCCTGCCATTTAGGAGGTGACTGGTGTTTTCTTAACGTGTGGGTGAATGTCTGACTAAAATAAAGAAAACGTATTGCCTATACTCACTACCCACAATGCACTTGGGAAGATGCTTTCTTGTTATTTCCTTAAATTAAATTTTAAAACCTCCTTGGGAAGCAACGGCAGCTACTGAGGTCCCCAGAGGCACTGTCCCCCTCTCTCTTTTAAAGGTCCAGCTGGTTCGCCTGTCCCTGATACCCAAAAAGGCTGGCAAACAGGGGCAGAGAGGCGTCTGGGCAACACTGGACCACAAAGATGCAGAGACGTAAAAACCCATTCCCAAATCCCAACAGCCAAGAGTGCTGCCACAGTGCTGCAGGGAACAGTACGACCACAGGGAACAGACTGGAACAGCCAGGCCAAGTGGGCAACCAGCCTTGCGTCTTTAGCGTTATACCTAGAGCATGCGTGCAGAAAGCCATGAGGCTTCTACTTCCCACTCGTCTCCTCGAAGACCCTGAGCCACACTCAGGTGGGTGAACAGCACTCACGCTTGCACGTGCGATCTGATGGCAGGGCGGGCCCGGCCACACGAGGCTACCTCTCTCACGGCCCTGCCTGAGCCATCTTAATATGGCCTTGTTCCAAAGTCACAACAAGGCTTTCTGGGAAAAGGCTGGGTATAAATAAATACACGCTGTTTTTTACAAAAGCAGATACATCACTTGCCTGCTATTGGATACAGCATTCGGCTAAAAGCAGAGTTTTGAGAACCAAGGAGGCCTGTGTTTAAGCCACTGACTGTGTCCTTGGGCAAGTTATCACACCCCTCTGCAGTAACTTCCAATGATGAGATGACAATTTCTTTAATGGGCAGAATTATTGGGAGCATTGAAGGAGACCCAAGTTATCAAGGACTTGCACAGTACCTGGAACAAACTAAGAGCTCAGTAAAATGAACGACTGTGAAAGAGAATGCACTTTACGTCGGGGGTCTTCCTCTCCAGACCCATACTCCAAGCCCAAGCAGGAGATGAACACTAGACAAGCCCCGGACTGAGGGACATGTCCCAAAACCAGCACTCATCACTCACAGGAGGGATCGAGTCACTCCCCCATGCAGGAGAGATTCCGGAGGGCAGGACTCAAGGTACATGGGCTCCCAGGTGGGATCCTGGGACACAAACAGGGACATGAGGGGGAAACCGAGGACACAGAACCAAGCGTGAACTTCAGTGGCGACACGTCCACAGCGGTTCCCAGTTGTGACACACACTGTAGGGACGGTCACAAGGCAGCTGACTGTGGGGGTGTGGGGCCTTTTTCTTCTTCTTGCTTTTTTGCAAGAAAAAACTCATTGAAACAACACACGTTCCTGCACAAGAGCACTCGAGGCTCGTGGAGGACATGGGAAGCAGGGGACCCCAGGATGCTCCCAGTTGCTGCTGCTCTTTGGATTCAGACGTGAGCTGGGGCTGCCTGGGGACCCCCACCCCCCACCCCCTCCTTTCACACAGTCAGGACTATTTTAAGAGAACTGGTCACTCCCTGGTAAGCTGAACACGGTGACCGGCTCTTCAGCAGAGGGGATTCTGGCATGGGTGGGAGGCTGGACTTAAACTTCTCCACCAGAGGAAGCTGGGAAATCAGTTTGAAGAGGCACATCTAAGAGGACAATAAGCAGACAAAGCATTATGTTTCTTCTAAATGTAATAACACTGTAAGGTGGACAGCACGATCCCCTTTGTAGAACATTCTGGAATAAATGGCAGGGGCTGAAACTAGATCGGTGGCTGCCGGTAGCTGGGGCAGGGGCAGGGCTGCTACGCAGGGCAGGGGGACCCATGGGGGTGACGGGAGCGTTCTCCATCCTGTGGCAGTGACTCGACTGTCTGCACGCTAAAAGGGTGAATTCTTCTGCATGCAAATTACAATGCAGACCTGAAGACACGTGAACCCAGAAGGTCAGCTGGGAGATAAGGAAGGAACAGGATAACATCTTCCGAGAAGATCACCTCAAGACCGCCCATGAGCATGGTGGCGTATGAGCAGCCTGGTTATTTTTACACGATTTTTTGCACAGCCAACATCATCCAGCACATACAATCCTGCACCGCCTCTTTTCCTGTTACACCATGTCGATATCCCCTGTTCTGCAGAAGCCTCTGCCACCAGGTGTTTGATTACCGCTCCCACCCCCCCCCCAGGGATGGGCCATTGTTTCTTTTATGCTGCCATAAACAACTCCGTGGCAAACACCCTTGTGAAACATGTTTTTCTACCCTATATTTAGGATTATTTCCTTAGGCCAGATTCCCAGAAATGGAATTACTGGGACAAAGGGCAAGAGCGTATTTTACATTGTTGCCAAATTGCTCTCATTAGAGAGATATTAAAGCAAACCGAGGAGCCTGGCCAAGGCTGAGGGGCTTCTGTCCTTGGCCACTGATGCGACGGGGCCAGGGATGGTCAGT